ATATATATATAAAATGTACCCAAGTATATAATTAGTGTATACGGAATGAATTCAATAACCAACAATTACTATTCTTAAAAGAGTGCTCAATACTGAGTAGAGCAGATATAATTATTTATATGTCTGTGTTTAATTTAGTTTCTTTTTGTTATATATATATAATAAAAGCAATATACTAATCATATATATATATATATATATATATATATATATATATAGAGAGAGAGAGAGAGAGAGAGAGAAAGGATAGCAGTAATTAAAACTAATCTACATCTATTCTGAGTTTTTAATGAATAAATAGTGTTTATTATTTTGTTCTCAATTCTCAAGAACAAAGAAAATGTATAAATTCACTTTCCTACGATTAAGTTTTATTCCAATTCTAACCATCGTTTTTCAAAGCAATAAACACTGCCGAAAACTAGGTATTTATCTTCGACGACTAACTGAGTCAGGTTGTGACACAAGGTCGCTTTATTTAAACGCGGGGACCCAAATGTCTCCACTCGGCCCATGGTCTAAGCTGGTATTAGCTGGTCATAGCTTGTCTAAGCTTTTTATAGCTGGTCATACCAATGCTACGGAACAGATGTTACGGAACAAGTTCAGGCAGCGGGGTTAGGACAGCCACCAGCACGGAACAGATACTACAACAGCAGCATCTCCTCTTACAGGAAGACCTTATCCTCTTATTGCTGAAGTCTAAGAGTGAATGTAGTTTTTAAAAAAAGCGGTATAATGGGGAAAAAACCGTCCCTTTGACACTCCGTCTTATTGTGGGCACGTTTATCCAGGCTTGCCTGATCATTTATAGATGACTTGCTACTTCTTTCTAGAAGAGTCTGTGTAGTTTGCCCGGGATGATATGTTTATTTACCACCCCCTAGCATCAGTCTAGCATCTGTGTGATCCATCTAACTTAATGTTGGTAAGTTACTTTACGAATCAAGATGAGGAAAGCTGACGTTATAGATATGTCCTTTGAATGCTTACCCTCGGGTTAGACTTTCGAATGAATTCGGCATTCCCTTCTTAATGACATATATCTGTTTTGTTTAGCTTGGCAGAATTTACGGATAGAAAAAGAAACAAAAACGCCAGACTGTTTATTGCGCAATTATAGGTATTAACATGCAAGATATCACGTTGAATATATGAATTTTTGTTAGATGATTTAAAATAATAATAATAATAATAATAGTAATAATAATAATAATAATAATAATAATATATTTACATTTATTTGTTCGCTTCGAGTGGCCCCGAGCATTATTATAGTTAGCATTCCAAATTATATAAATTTTGAGGTATCAAATTTGGTGAAAATTATTAATAAATAAAAATGACGAAGTGGAAAAGTTTTCGAGTGAGGTGTTTTGCCCTTTAGGAATTCATCGGACGAAAGTAATATTTACGTCAATGCGATTACACATGAGCATGAAGGAGAATTTAGATTTACACTACAGCTCAAAAGTTTGTGGTGACCCCTGTTAAATTTTTAAATTGTCCCCCAAAAGTAGTTATTTTGTATTTTAAATAAGAGAAAATTATTATACATGGTTAAAAAAAAAACGTGATTTTTTTGTTAGAAATTTTATTATGACAAAAAGACAAACAGAATTTTATGATTAAATTTTGCTCTCGTCAAAATATCCTCCTTTAGCTTCGATTACTGCAGCACAAATCTTCTGGCATACGTTGCAAAAGTTCCTCAAAGTATAAGTTTGATTCCATTATATATATATATATATATATATATATATATATATATATATATATATATATTAAAATTAATCATATTTTTATCCTCGTTCCTTTATACAAACTAAGAATTATCACCTGAGCATGCGGAACTATATATGAAATATGCGAAACTATATATATATTATTATTTGAAATAGACGTCTCATTTTTATTTATTAAATACTGTGTATCACGTCTATCGGCGTGCCCATTCGAGAAATTTTATATATAGAGGTGCCCAATAAAATCTTATATATAGTGGGTGCCTATTAAAATCTTATATAGAGAGTGTGCCTATTAAAAGCTTATACATAGCGGGTTCTTGTTTGACTCTATTTGATTTATATTCAGGGGGACATGTGAAAATTAATGTTTATTCAACTAAACTTCAATCTTTGGAAGCTAAGATAGTTGATGTGATTGAATATATTACTGAAAATCAGCTGCAACATTTTTTGTGAACTACATAATCGTATCATCCTTTCTGTACATAATGATGGTAGACATGTTGGAAATCAAAATTCCAATAACAAATTTAGATACTTGCTTTTTTTTAATCCTTTTTACAGATTCTTTCTATCATGTATAGTTACAGAGCTACAAGTATTTAAATTGAACACAGACTCTATGGACATGCAGTATAATATATAATATTTCAAGTTTAATCTAAAAGATATAAAACGCTCACCATCTCGCAATGGTTATTGTGTTAGTATTTGAAACCATTAATAATTGTATTTTTATGCTGAATGTGCCACATTTCTGTACTAAACCAAGCAAATTTCGTTCGTGGCCTCTTATTCGGCGTCTATACACAATTATGATTATCACCATAGAAATATATTCGTTTTAATGTAAATGCAACTTTGTCACAAATGTTTGAATCACATACATTGTAATTCTTTCACTTGATATCTAATATCTTTGTGAAGATTGCCTACTGACGACATTTGCAAACAATTTCAATGAGTCGACTGCCTAATACGTGCACTGAATATTCAATATAGCGCCGCAGAGTCGATACTTGGGACAGAACAGAAAACAAATGTTCAATCAAAGTTGCAAGATAAGAAAAACCGAAAGGCCAAAATGAATAAATTAAATCGATTTTATTTCGTCTTCATACGCTACGCGTTCACTTCAAAAACAATCGTTCAAAGCAAACCTCATGTTTTCCGACTTACAGAGAACGGCCATTTTGAAACAATGACGATTTCATGACTGATGATGTCATTCAATTTATTAATGATATCCTCCTAGGAAGGATATTAGATAAATATTATTTCATTGCACACACACACACACACACACACACACACACACACACACACACACACACCTTTAGCCGAAATTCTTGAAACCGGAAGTGCGTCGGTTTGCAGATTTTGGAATACAGGCTATTTAATTTGTATATAGCATCTATAAAATGGGGCATCTTGAAAATAGAACTTATGCATGAACACAATATCCCTTTATATTTCATAACACAACTTATACATACACCCAAAAGGTTGTTTTATATCGGCAGATGCTTTATCACCACACACCTTTAAATATTTAATGGCATACCTTTTCTTAAAATTCTGTGTAGTGTTTTTCTAATTTTCATTAATTTCTGTTTATTACTTTCAGCATAAAACTTTAACAATTTCTCCTTCGTATATGGTGGTCCGACGTTTCATATTTACACCCGTGTCTAATTTTTCCAAGAGTTTTTCCATGATATTGATAAACATAAATGCTTTCTTTTTTTTTCTTTTCGCTACACATGTGTATCTGCTTGACTTTTTGAATAATATCTTTATTGAGCACGAAACACGAACGAAGGTGTTGCTGTGACGATTGCTAAAAATAACTGATGCCAACTTAGACTCGGTAGCTGGTCTGTGGAACCCCTAACCAGGTCAGATGAGGGCACTTACAGCAGCTGCACATCACATATGAACCTTGCCAGTGTTTTCTGAAATTTTCCATTTGTGGCAACTCATGTCAGCACCTGAAATATATATATATATATATATATATATATATATATATATATATATATATATCGTGTTTTTGGCAGCATGTTTTCATTGAGGTAAGTTTAGTTGAATAGTTTAGACGCATCATAATTAATTACCCCCACTAGAGCGCAACATACACTGGATGGCCCAAAACTGGCGGTCTTCCACTTTCAGATGAACACTACATATTGTCTTAAAAACACACCCTGAGGATGACATTGTCTTAATGTCGAAAGCCCTCGGAATAAGACAATATGTATCAACAGGGTAATTTTCTCTCTTCTTTTAATCCCGACACCAGAAAGCTCACCCGAAAATATGAACGGGTTCTGTTGAACAAAAAACAAAACTTGTTTAAACTATTCAACAAAACTTGCCTCAATGATATATATACATATATATCATATCATATCTTCGTTTAAACATGTTTCATTCAATAATATAGACATATTATGTTTAATTATTTTTATACTGATCCTTTCCCGTTATCTTTCTTGATATTAAGATGAAATTCATTAAGGAAGGCGCTGTAGTTATTCTTAACCCAAGTACTTTCGATCTTTTAAAACATCATCTTCGGGGGTAAATTACAAAGATCAACTTATTGTAATGGCAATAAAATCTGCATTCGGTTGTGTTTATGAATGTTATAAACAAACACGGACGCGCTATGTTAATTTATTGCAGTTACAATAGAGTGTCTTTGTAATTTATCCCTGAAGATGATCTTAGATTGCATGCTACTGCCGCTTTATCACCGAGGCCCGTTCGTACAGTTCGTATGACGTTTGCCTGATGACGTAACTGTCCGAGTTTCAATTCTCGGAAGTGGATGCGCACTGTTGATGAGTCCCAAATATAGGACGAAACGACCATCCAGTGCTTTCTGCATTCTGGTAAGAGGAGTTATATATATATATATATGTTACGATGAATAATATAGATATATTGTGTCTATTTATTTTTATATTAATACTTTCCTGTAGTTTAATCAGTTTCTTGATGTTAAGATGATTTTTTTTTTAACTCAGCCACTTTCGATCTTTTCTAAGATCATCTTCAGGGATAAATTACAAAGACAAACTTTAATGAATTTCATCTTAACATCAAGAAAGACAACTGGAAAGGATCAGTATAAAAATAATTAGACACAATATGTCTATATTATTGAATGAAACATGTTGAAACGAAGATATGCTACATATATATATATATATATATATATATATATATATATGTATGCAGAGAGACAGAAAGAGAGAGAGAGCGACAGAGAGAGAGGGACAGAGAGACAGAGAGAGACAGAGAGAGAGAGAGAGAGAGAGAGACAGAGAGAGACAGAGAGAGAGAGAAGTAAATTAATACATTTTGTCATTTCTCCATCACGAATATTCCCAGGGACGCCGTTACTCTGAAACTTTACATATACACGTATAATCATCTAACATTAGCTGAAATAGATTTTAAATTATATAGCTTAAAAATAGGTACAGAAACTTGGTGCTCTAAATCATATTATTAGGAATTTCTACAGAATATATTCATGGGACACTTAGCAAGAAGGAAAAGATAAGGCAAAGAATTAAAAAAAATATCGATTTTTTTCGATTGTACTTCTTTCCAGCCTCAAAATATTGCGCCGGAGTCGTAAACATTAAAATCAATTCGTGAAGGTGAAAACCAGTTACCTCTTCATTAGTATTTCTTTTTTTAATCAATTCACCCCAAGACGCAAGGGGATCGATCGATCACGTGTCTTAGGGGTACCACATGTACTGCAGCCGCAGTGTGCCTTGGGTAAGATAACCTGACAAAGCCCAGCACTCACCAGACTGGTTTGAATTCAGAGCTATCCTTTTCCTAGACCGGTTGCCATCCAAGGCTATAGAACCCAGTTTGTCCTGCTATTTTACCCATAGCTGGGGAGAGAAGAAATGGATCGATACCTTTCCCAAGTGTATTAGCACGTAAGTGAATGTAATGAACTTGACTAGAATTTGAACTCGGCTCTCCGATTCCTAAATTCACGCAAAGGGGTACTGAAGTGAAAAGATTTTTGAAGCAACCGTAAACCCACTAATAGTATAAATTCAAGAGATTACACGTTAGAAGTATAGAGTTAAAGTAGAATTTAGCATGGAACCAAAAACCCAATCATAAACGAGAAACAAGGGATAAACCTCTACTCCTGTTCAAAAGACCGGAGAGTAGCGTGAACATATCAAGTCCTATAATTACTAGGAATTTCGATTTTGCCTCAACCCTATTTTTCAGATGATTAACTTAAATATACACTGTTTTGTTACTGGAATTTAATGCTATACTAAAAAAAAAAAAAAAAAAAAACTGTAAGAGAAGTGACCGGTCAACCACTTTCAGCACCCTGTTCTTCAGGCTCAAGATTTCGAAAGATGGTCTGTTTTTGTCTCCATTTGATGTCGGACTGAAGTAGTATTAAATATAATCGAAACTAGGAATTTCACCTTCGGTTGTGTATAATCCACTAATGGAAGAACGGAAATCGTTGTCGGAAATCGAAAATAATCCCCCATCTTAGGCAGCAGATCTGGTAGAATATTATCCAGATATATAATGGAGTAACAATCAGGGAAGTGCTCTAACAGAGAACGCAAAATGTGACACCGAAATTTGAAGACGTATTGGGATAGAGAAAGATGCCTTCTAAAAAGCAGACACACAGACACACACACGCACATGATTAATATATATATATATATATATATATATATATATATATATATATATATATATATATATATATGTATGTATATATATATATATATATATATATATATCATATAGAGACAGACTGTTTCGCTGTTTCACAGCTCATCAGTGTGGCTAGACATCTGATTGCCTCAAGCCGAGATCGAAATCCGACTGATTTGATATCAGTTGGAGACACTACCCTTTAAGTACTGACACACGACAGGAATGTAGGTGAATTTAGACGTATTGATTTTTAGATAAACACGCCAGTGATTGGAGCACGCGATTCGTCTTAACGAAGAGTCTTGCATCAGCAGCATTTATAGTCACTATTTACAAATTCACTTTTCTCCCTCAGAGCTCAACCGAAATAATTTTTTCAGGATCATGTATACAGTGTCATCCACAGACAGACTATTTCACTGTTTCACAGCTCATCAGTATAGATAGACATCCGATTGCCTCAAGCTGGGATCGATGTATATATATATATATATATATATATATATATATATATATATGTGTGTGTGTGTGCGCGCGCATTTTTATATATGTGTGTGTGTGTGTTTGCGCGCGCCCGCGTTTATATATATACATAGGGTTGGTCAAAATAATTGGAACACTTGTTAAATTTAAAGAAATTTTATTTAATATGTAGTTGGTCCTCCTTTAACCTCACAGACAGCTTTAATTCATCTAGTTATGGAATCATACAGCTTCCTGACTTAATCCAGAGGAATTTTCAGTCATTCTTCCATTAAAACCTTCTCCAGCTCTTTACGACACAACAGTGGAGGATAGCGGCTCTTAATCTGTTGCTCTAAAATGCACCACAAATGTTCAATAATATTGATATCTTGAGATTGGGGAGGCCCACTCCATGTGTTCTAGCTCACTTTCATGCTCTTCATACCAATTCTTAACCACTCGAGCGGTATGTATTGGAGGATTATCGTCTTGGAAGATGCATCCACCATCAAGGAATAAAGTCTTGGCCATTTGATGAACATGATCTCCCAAAATGTTCAGGTAATCTTTGCCGTTGATTCTACCATGCAGGGCAGCCATTGGACTGAGACATTTCCAGGATATGGCGGCCCAAACTATCACTGATCCACCTCCATGCTTCACTGTTGGAAGAAGGCAGTCAGGGTTGTAAGCTTCTTCAGGCTGCCTATACACATAAATTCGCCCTGAAGTTGGGAAAAGAGAAAAACTGGACTTGTTTGAGAATATGACTTGCTTCCATTGGTCTGCAGACCAGGCATTGTGATCTCTGCACCACTTCAACCTCTTTTGAATCTTGTGATTGGAGAGAAGAGGTTTCCTCATGGCAGCTCTTCCATGATATGCAGCCTTATGGAGTTCACGGTGAACAGTTTTAGTAGAAACTGAACTATTCAGATGGTTATTCAACTCAGCAGTCACTTTGGCCGCATTTGTCCGATGATTTTGCCACATTGCGTTTCAATGCACGTCAGTCCCTGTCAGTAAGTTTGCAAGTCCAGCACGAATTGCTATGGTTGCTAGAGGACTGTTTCTCGAATTGCATCAGTGTTCTTGATATGGTAGCTCTTGAAAAACCAAACAGTTCAGCAACCTTAGTGATCGAGGCTCCTGCCATGCGAGCTCCAACAATTTGCTCTTTTTCGAATTCGGAGAGGTCACGCATCTAGCTTAAATTTTACTAAATTCTAAAAATAAATAAGACAAAGACAGGTAAATACATGTAAATTTACAATCGATATATATTATATATCGATATATTATAACCTGAATTACGAAGTTTTAGTTAAAGTTCTTAATATAATAGGTCTTTGAAATATAGGAGTGGATTTTGCAACTGTGCCAATTATTTTGTCCAATCCATATATATATATATATATATATATACATTTTTTCGCACCGGGTGCACCACTCTGAGTTTTATACACAACACAATCTGATTGATAACTAAACTTTACATAATTCGAATTTAAAACCGGAATATATGAATAATTTATAATGACAGTTTATGGTCAAGAGCCCTAAGTTAAGTCCATATGATCTGGTCTGTTTTCACGATTGTTAACTATATTTTTAAGTATTTCATCACGATAAAACACATATTCTCTTATTTTCTTTTTGGACAAGACTCTCCTCGTTTCTTATGTGCAGCTGCTCTTTTTGAAACTCTCCAATAATGCAATAAACACCAACATGTGCATTGCCTACTAAATTTTCCCATCGCCTCTGCCTTATTCTGGTTTTATATTTTGTAATAAATATTGAATGTTTCAAATGTATAAACTCTATTTAAACGCTGTTTTGAAAATGTTTAGAAATAAAGGAGTTTCGCAATTTTTTTTCAATTTCTCCCAAAGACTATTTTTCGGGATTCTGATCTTTCAGGATTTTATAAATTCGGGATTTCAAATTTCGGGATTTTAAATTTCAGGATTTCGACATTTCGGATTTTAATATTCGGGATTGGGATCGGCATCCATACATCATTCCTATATAAAAGAAATTACAAAATATATAAAATACATATTTAATATTCATAGAATAAGATGTCATTAAAAAAAACTAAGCACAAACATACAGTTACACAAAAAATTACTAATCCGAGCTCAGGATTATACAACCATGCATGAAAAAATTTGAAGTTAAAGAAAAAGTAAATAAGTTAAGAAAAATAAACAGTAAATGATGTACAGACGCAGTTTGTTTTGCGACCATGACATCTTTTTAGGTTGTGTCCACGTTTGCTCAATGTTCGAACAGCAGAAGTATATAGACATAAAGATTGCTTAGCCAAGATTGTTAGTTTAGAACCGCCTGCAACGTTTGGCAGATTGTATTCTATAATATAAAGAAAGATCGATGAGCAATTCCGGAAGGCATGAAGAATATCAATTCGGAAGGACCAATTCTTTAGAAAATATGGTCATTTACTTCTACAAACGAAGAAAGCTTTCCCCGTAATTTAATGCTTTGGTTCGAAAACGAGACAAGAATTACAGGCCAATCGACCGGATGAACGCGGCATAGGGTGATATTCTAATATGACACTCATTGAGCACAGACACGCAAAGGGTGTGATATTATAATACGAATTAAGAGGTTCTCATGCTACTGTCTTTACAATTAATTTTAGGCGTTGTAAAAACATCTCGGAAAAGATAATGGAAGAAAAATAAGGAGTTCATGGATAAGAATAGGTGTGGTCATTTCAATGCGTGTTAACATTATTATTAATTGGAACGACATATCAAATAAAAATGTGTAAACACTCTTACAGGGCTCAATAATATACTGGACAAATGCACTCCCCTATATATATATATATATATATATATATATATATATATATATATAACACACACACACACACATATATATATATATATATATATATATATATATATATATATATATATATATATATATATTGAAATTAGCGTCTCTCGTTCATGAAACTTTTTTACGATTTCCCATACATTTTTCTTTTAAAAATGTTCTTCATATACGAACATTTATATATCCTTATCCCATATATATATATATATATATATATATATATATATATATATATATATATATATATATATGGGTGTATCAAAATACTTTTACAAACTTTTAGAAACATATGTCCAAAAGGCTATTTTTGTACATCAACACAGCAGCTCATAACAAATGTTCAAAATGTCCTCTGCTTGCTTCTAAACA